CTTAAACCACAGATTCCTTGGTGCTAACAAATCTCCAGAGTGGAGCCGTCAAGGTTTTCCAAAGCTGGACCCAGGCCACCTTCCAAGCCTTAGGTTTAGCCACTGCCTCACAGGCGTCCTATGCTTTAGCCAAGCTAAACCGTTTTACTTCCCCCACAAAAGAGCCTTCAGTGTGGTTTCTTCACATGTTGCTTGTCCAGCTGCTTGCTTGCTTCCGGGGAAGGGAGGGACCAAGGGCGGCCTCGCGAGGCTGCATCTGAGTTGAGCTCTGGAGGGTGCAGCACAGGGAGAGGTGGGGATCAGTGGAGGAGGAGGCGTGTGTGCTGGGACCAAGAGCCTGGGCAGCGGCCTGGGGAGGGAGGGCAGGCTGGGAGGGCAGGTCCCGTGGTGGCGGCCTAGGAAGCTTGGCTGGGTGTTGGGGAGGAGCAGCCCGAGCGCTAGTCTCCACCGTCACACTTTAAGATGGATCACACAGCAGCAGTCTTTCAGAAGGCTGGAACTCAGTTACGGAAAACGGATGAACACCTCTGTATGCCCCCCTGGGAAGGAGGGAGATGGAGTAATGCTCAAAGGGGGGACAATGTGAAAATTTAAATATATAACCTGTATGTTGATTTGATTTCTTGATAACGCACACATCCTTTGCAGCTACTTCAACCTGCGGGGTTGTCCGGACTCCCCTGCACTTGCTGGCCCTGACTTCCTTGACTCGGCCTACTGGCTGGGGCACACACAAAGGGAGAAATATTGTAAGAAAAAAAGACTTAATAGAGATTTAGTAAGTACTATCGTCTGCTTCTCCTGTTTGAGCAAATTCAGGCAGTCTTTTCTTAGGAAACAAGAACTTTAATAAAACAACTACATATGTATAAATTCAGATATATATGGCTGTATATAAATATATGAAAATCAACACCCATGATTTTCTAATATATATAAAATGTAATTTATTTATTCATTAACATGGAAAAATTACTGGAAGACCAGAAGTAAAGCTCATCTGAACTATTTCTAGGTTCTGTATCATGCATATTTCACTTGTTTTACTCATTTTATAAACATAACTATGTGTTATTGTTATATAACTATACTGCGGGAATTTCAGAATCAAAGAACAGACCATAACTATCAGAGGCTGTGTAACTGTTAAGAAAAGGGTTCAGTTGTGAGACGCGCCTCCCTTGAAAGCTGCCAAGAAATGCGACCTAATGGCTGCATCGACTGTGAATGAGTCAGGAAAAGCCTGATGACAGGACACGGGTCCTCGCGCCGCTGAAGTCGGTGATTTGTAAATGAACAAACATCACGTCAGTTCTCACTTTAAAGGGCTAAAGTCACCAAAATACTAAATGTGTAAAATACTCCTTTTCATCTTAAATATTAGATGAAAAGAAAATACTTCTACTTAAGACAAGTAGTTTCCAGAGTGGATGCACTTATTTATTAGATGTAAATATGTCACCGTTCACCAGATATACAATAGTTTAAATTTCTGAAATTTAAGTCAGCCAGAGAGGACTGCAACTGCCTCAATGCATGTGGCTTACTCTCAGGGCAGGGTGCACTTTAAACACTTGAAACAACCAGAAAAGGCTCTGGAGGGAAGAACCTGTATCAGCTCCGAAAAGGAGACTTCCTTATACTTTCTGGGCTCATTAAGATACAACAAGATGACTTCTCCTGTTTTATATCAAACACCAAACCTAAAGTAATAATCCTAACAAAGAATAGGCCAATTCTGATTTTTACTTTCTTATCTATAGCTACAAAGTGACAGAACTTAAAATTAATGGTGCCACTGTAAACTAATTTTATACACACCAAACATCACATTGAATTATTTACCTGAAACAAACAATATAAAATGTAATTTGGTGATCTGAAGGGTTGCAAGTCTTAAGAACTCAGTTTTTCTAAGAATAATCAATTAGAAAAAATATCAAATACTCTATTTGTTTCATACTACTAAATACAAGGTTTTGTATAACTTAAAACAGTACTTCAAACACATACCATACAAACTAATGAACTGAATTAGAAATCCTTAAAAACTTCAAACACTCAAACAACCCAGAGTATATGTGAATTTCTTATAAAAGTGAAAAATATCGCAAACAAAAATAATTTATAGTGTTGTTAACTCTCTGTATACAGTACTGGATTTACACTGACAAGTACAGTTAAAATGAACATTGAGGTCACCTTATGTAAGAGAATGATCCTCAAATGATATTAAATACTTTCTTTGAACTTTTGGGTTTTGCTTTTGTAATAAATATGTACCAAAAATCTGTAGTACATTGTATATGCTGAGCACTTATCTTTCTCCATTTGAAAGTCTTTCTCCAGAGTCATAATGTCTTAGAGGCATCCCACTGGGTGGGGAGCTGGGATTTTGCAGCAAGTCCACTAACAGAGCAATCTTATTATCTATGTGCTCTTGGAGTTTATATATTCGCTGATCAATGTAGTCCATAAGTTTCTTTTCCATCAGTTCCATATTTTTGGAAAGAATCTTTTCCAAGTAGGAGCAAACAGGTTGCTCTTCCGTTCTAAAAATAAGTTTAAAAATAATAATATAACAATTATCTCTAATATCATAACAATCATACTACAGCAAGCAGCCAACATACACTGCTGAAATTTGTCTCCACAATTGTGCTCTGTCTCCTAATAACATATTTCCAGATTCTGACATACATATGCAATATACAACCACAACCCTGAATGCCCAAAACATTCTTATTTCTTTGATTCTTTAAACATGCAACTGAAATGAGACTATAAAAATGAGCATGATAGTTTCTACCCTCAAACAAGAGTTTAGAAAGTCTCTAGAAAGAAGTCTTTGATTTTCAGCTCCAAATCAAAAACCTGTCTTGCCCCCCTTTTTTTAAGGTCTCCATTATATCTTTCAAGTACTTTCTCAAACCACCCTACAATTTACACAGTTGTGTCTTTTTTCATCCACACAACCTTACTAAATATTGGAAAGTTCTTACCTAACCTAATAGGAAAGGTATTTTTAAATGAATGTAACTGGAATGGGCAAATTACAATGAAATTGATAAAAAGCATGCCTGTTTCAGAAGTGCACAATGGCACCAGAACAGTGACCAGTGTGGTCCACAGCATCCTAGGGTCTCCATGACTTTTTCAGGGGGTTCCATGAGGTCAGAAGTATTTTTATAATACTAAGATGTTATTTGAATTTTTCATCCTCACATTCTCATGAACATACAGTGACATTTTCCAGAAGCTACACAATGGGTAATGTCATTGCTTTGATGACTCACAGAATGTGCGGTTGTGTGCTTAGGTATAAATAACTATTTTTTTCAGAGATTAACTCAGTTTCTTCTCAGTACTTCTACTGTGATCTTACTATCTACCGATCATATGTGCTCTAATGCAATATATATAAGAAAGCAACCAAAAGCTAAGAGAGATCTGAATAATTTTAGAAAGTACCATTCTCACTGAACTTTTTTAGGGATATATCTTTTCATAAAAATCATTACATTTGCATATAATGGTTTATTGTTGTTACTTTTAAATAAATATTTTATATAGCCTACACAAATAAAGGTTCTATAGAGTCCTCAATTATTTTTAAGAATGTAAAGACCACCACATTTGAGAACCACTACTCTAGAACACATGAAGAAGGGTTTTTTTTAACTCTTTATTTTCAAATAGTTGTAGAGTCACAGGAAGTTGTAAAGATACCTGAGTTCCCCAGTATCCTTCACCCATGGTCCCAGTGGTTACATCTTACCTAACCATGCTACATCAAAACCAGGAAATTGGAGGGCAGTGTGTGTGCCATTTTATCACACACATAAATTCATGTAAACATCCTCATGATCACCATGCAGTCCTACTCCCTGACTACAAAGACCTCCCAGTGCTACCCCTTCACTGTCACACCCACTCCCCAAAGCCCCTCCCTCCCTAATACCTGGCAAGCACTAAAATGGTCTCCCCCTCTCTCTACTTTTATTTTGAGAATGTTACACAAATGGAATCCTACAGTGTGTGATCTCTTGAGATTCTCTTGTCTCAGCATAATGCTCGAGAGCCAACCAAGTTGGTGCATGTATCAATAGTTTGTTTCTTCTTAATGATTAGCATCCTGTGTATGGATTTACCAGGTTCTTCAGCTAATCATCTATTTTATGACACTTTGGTTGTTTCCAGTGTTTGGCCATTACATACAAATGAAGTCTTTATGAACATTTATGGACAGATTTTTGTGTGGACCTAAGTCTTCACTCTCTGGGATAAGCACTCAGGAGTACGATTGCCGAGTCACATGGTAACTATGTTTAGCTTCCAAGAAACTGCCAAATCAGCAATGTCTGTGAGATCGTATCTCCACATCTTCAACAGCATTTGGTTCCTTTATCATTTTTTAAACTTTTTATTTTAGCCATTCAAACAGCCATGTAGTGAAATCTTGTTGGTCTCACGTGTGCATCTCCCTAGCAGCCGTGGTGTCAATGCTGATCATGCTTTCCTGTGCTTAGCTACTATTTGTATATCCTCTCTGGTAAGATGTCTCTAGGTCTTCTGCCCATGTTCTAATTGGATATTTTTTTATGTTGTTTTGAGAGTTCTTTACATATTTTAAAAATAAGTCATTTGCTGGATTTGTAATTTGTACATATTTTCTCCCAGTTTGTAATTTGCATTTTAATCCTCTTAACGGGGTCTTTCACAGGGCAAAGTTTTTAATTTAATGGGGTCTCATATACAAAATTTTCAATTATTGTGCTTTTAGTGTCACATCTAAGAAAATTTTTATAGCTTTTTATTTTATATTTAAGTGCATGATCCATTTTGAGTCAATTTTTATATAAGGTATGAGGATTAGGTCACTTCAGGCCCTTTGGATATCCGGTTGCTCTAGCACCATGTGGTCCACTGGACTGTCACTGTACCGCAGAAGCCAGTCGGGCATATTTCTGTGGGTCTATTTCTGGCCCTTTAGTAGGTGCCACTGACCTGTGTGTCTGCACCTCTGCCAGTACTGCATGGCTCTGGATATTCTCACTATATACGGCTCGACAGTGGGAAGAGTCATTCCTCCCACTTTACTCTTCTTTTTCAAAGTTGTTTTAGCTATTCTACCTCTTCTGCCTTTTCATATAGTTTTAAAATAATTTTTTTGAGGTTTGGAAAAAAATTGTGGTGGGGTTTTAATATGCACTATGTTAAGCTTGCATACCAATGGTGAGAACTGTCAACTTCAGCATGTGAGAAAATGAATCTGTAATTTAAAAGTTTTCCACCCTAAAAAGATAAAAAGTTCACAAGAAAGAAATATCCAGGCCAAGTTGGTTTCATTGGAGAATTCTACCAAACATTTTAAGAAAATAAATTACCAATTTTGCACATTTCTTCTAAAATATAGAACTCATTGTCCAAGACCAGTATTAGCTTGATATAAAACCAGACAATCTCTGGTTTTATACAGAGCAATCTCTCTTATGAGTTAGATGTAAGAACACTCAACAGAATAGTACCAAGTCAAATCCAGCAATGTATAAAGAAGAATTATACCCCACAACCACGTGGGATTTATTATAGGTATGTAAGGCTGGTTCAGCTTTTGATACTAATTCACTGTATCAACAGATTATAGAGAAAATTCATATAATCATATAAACTGACACCCAAAAAATATCTGACAAAACCCAACACCCATTTATGATAAACTCAGATAACTAAGAATTAAGGAACACTGCTTCACAGTCCCTAAGCAATCTGACTTCTTTTCTCCTTTTACCGTCTTTGTATGTTTGTTTAATTATGCCTGGGGATTTTTATTTGTAAATGGGAGGATCTGAGAGGAATAGGGACACTCCATTTCAGCTGGACCCAGAAGCAGTTTTTAAATCTGTTTATTTTTGCCATATCACATACCAACCAGTTAACAGTGATGTAGATTATCAACAGCTGAAGACTATGGTTATGTCTCCATAACCTTACCAAATAAAAATTATCTTTTTTTCTAATAATTTATTAAAATTCCTCAAATTTTAATGTAATTGGAGGTCTTAAGAAAATTTCAACCAATATAACTACCTTATTTTACAAGTGAAAAAAACTAAGCCAAAAGATGTCAAGAGCAAATCATTAATCAAGGACTATGACTGGAGTCCTGAATTCCAGTACAGTGCAATATTTTGACACATTACATCTACATAAAGGATGAGGAACATGCTAAATACTTAGCTACCCTTCAATCAAACAAGGACAGCAAAAAACATTGGGAAAAAAAAACACGCAAAAAAAAAAGATCAGGCGATAAGTACACTAAAAATAATTATGACCTTAAAAATGTTTTGATGACCCCAGAATTAGCCTAGGTCAAACATGCTTTACAAAGAAGATAATGATGGCTCATTTAGTATAATCAGGCAAAGAAGTGTACATATTACGGTTCCCACAGCTCCTCTACATTCATCTAAATAACTTGCTAGTCTGACCCTTACCTGATGCTGTGCCCTTTCCATAAGATGCCTGAGAGGTGTTCAACACCTTTAGTCTTAGGCACATCCTTCAAAGCAATCCATTCTACTCTACAGAATATTTCCTAGAAGTATGTTAACGGTAAGATGTAAAAGCTTCTAAAATTATCTCTGAAAACATTTTCAGGTAGTAGTTATTGAAACAAACCTTTTATCCTCCAGCTGATTCTCCCTATCTACCATCTAAAACACATTTGCTATAAATACTTACACAATGCCAATAATGCCTTCACTGGGCTTGGTGACGTTTTCTGGCCACGGGATGTTACGTCCCACACGGAGATGGTTAACTTGACTACACAAGTTCTGGAGAAAAGGCAGCAACTCAGAGGTAGGTATACTTGATTGTAGATTATCAACAGCTGAAGACTATGGTTATGTCTCCATAACCTTACCAAATAAAAATTATCTTTTTTTCTAATAATTTATTAAAATTCCTCAAATTTTAATGTAATTGGAGGTCTTAAGAAAATTTCAACCAATATAACTACCTTATTTTACAAGTGAAAAAAACTAAGCCAAAAGATGTCAAGAGCAAATCATTAATCAAGGACTATGACTGGAGTCCTGAATTCCAGTACAGTGCAATATTTTGACACATTACATCTACATAAAGGATGAGGAACATACTAAATACTTAGCTACCCTTCAATCAAACAAGGACAGCAAAAAACATTGGAAAAAAAAAACACGCAAAAAAAAAAAGATCAGGCGATAAGTACACTAAAAATAATTATGACCTTAAAAATGTTTTGATGACCCCAGAATTAGCCTAGGTCAAACATGCTTTACAAAGAAGATAATGATGGCTCATTTAGTATAATCAGGCAAAGAAGTGTACATATTACGGTTCCCACAGCTCCTCTACATTCATCTAAATAACTTGCTAGTCTGACCCTTACCTGATGCTGTGCCCTTTCCATAAGATGCCTGAGAGGTGTTCAACACCTTTAGTCTTAGGCACATCCTTCAAAGCAATCCATTCTACTCTACAGAATATTTCCTAGAAGTATGTTAACGGTAAGATGTAAAAGCTTCTAAAATTATCTCTGAAAACATTTTCAGGTAGTAGTTATTGAAACAAACCTTTTATCCTCCAGCTGATTCTCCCTATCTACCATCTAAAACACATTTGCTATAAATACTTACACAATGCCAATAATGCCTTCACTGGGCTTGGTGACGTTTTCTGGCCACGGGATGTTACGTCCCACACGGAGATGGTTAACTTGACTACACAAGTTCTGGAGAAAAGGCAGCAACTCAGAGGTAGGTATACTTGAGCTGTCACTTGCTTTCTTTTGTAAGAAAGAAGGTACTGCATTTTTAAGATCATTTTCAAGAAAAGAATGGTTTTGTGGCATTATTTTATACTCTTCGAGGTTTGTAATATTTCCTTCACCGTGTGGTTGTGTACTTTTCTCAATGTAAGCTTTTAAGTCTCCAGTCACATCTGCAGACGTCAATCCAGTTCTAAAAGGAAAAGGTGTGGAGGATGACTTGTCAAAGACTCCTGAAGGAGATGATGACTGTAGCCCAATCATGTGCTTGTATCCAGCAGGGTCCAAACCTGACTGAAGCTGCTCTCCAACGGGAATACAATTCTAATAAGCAAGGTAAATAAATAAGTGTTACTATTGATATTAATAATAATGGCAGCTAACTTCTGGGGTAATTACATTGAGTCAGGCAATGGGCATCCTTTCATTTGATCCTCAAAACATCCACATGAAGTAAGCCGCAATCACTATCCCAGGACTGAGGTGAGGAAACCCAGGCTAAAGGTAACTTGGCCGTGGGAACACAACTCACAAACGGCAGAACCGGGACATGAGCCCAGGCCACCTAACTCCAGAGTCAGGGCTTTGATTATTTCACTGCAGTTTTTCCTAAAACTGTGCGGTCACATGTTGCCTTGCAAGCCACATCAATTCCCTTTTAAAAACAAGCAGAAGAATATGTATGAAATAATTTATATATACTTATTGCTTAGGTTCCATGTCATATATTCCATGGAAAACAATTACAGAGCAGCCTAAAAGAACATGAAAGCATTTACATAGAATTGTGTCTTTACACTTACATATGAATATGTATATGTGGGTACACATAATTTCATATATGAGCATAGACCCCCAGATATCTCAAAAAATCAAGTGTTTATCTCTGAACATCTTGTAGGATTTCTGAAAGGACTATCTTCATCTTCTTTCATTTTAAAAAATTAAAGAAATATCACCTAGCAAAAGCAAGAAAAAAGATGTATTTATTTCAAAGGTAAAGGAAACAGTGCAAATCTTGAATAACTGAATATATTTCTTTAAGAAAACGGGGCACATCCTTTCATGCAGGTAACATTAAATGACAACTACATGCTAAACACTTTGGTATAGAACTCCTATTCAGTTATTCTAAATTGCCAAAGCAAAAACAAATCAAAGCCAGCAAATCTGACTTCAAATACAAGGAAATGAGAAAGAACTTTAATAAATAAAGAACTTTAAGAAAGAAGTTTAATTAATAAAGTAATCCCAAGGCCCAGGTGAAACAGGGAGGGACCTAGAACTTCTAATGCAGCACCCCAGGTGCTTACTTTACCCATTTAGTAATTTTATTAAAAATTAAAAAATCAATTTTTAATTAATCTATGGGGGTTCCAAACAGGGTATGTGGTTACACCACTTCCCCGGAAGGAATAGTTCTCATCAGGAAATATCCTTGCTTTATACTTAGCAAAGAGTCACATAGCTGGCAGGACATTTTCCAGGCAGACATTCCACAGATCCCAGTTTGTTGACAATTAACAATCCCAAAGAACCAGGTATATCCTGTAAGAATCATTCCATAAATATAGCCTCCCAACTTGGAAGAAGCCTTTTACTGTGTTTAAAATAAGATTTAACTGGATCACTCTTTTTCCTCCCCAGGCTGCTCCCCAAACGTCCCTTATCTAATGACAGCATATGTGCGGGGAATGCAGGTTACAACATGTGTTGGGTCGGAGGACATGTATGTGCTTCCATATGCATAGAAAACTCTAGAAGGAATTGGATGGGGAATTGGATGAGAGCTGGGAAGGCACTTGTACAATTTACTTAACGCATTTGCCTAGTCCCATCCTTCTCCATTAAAGGCCTAGATAACTGAGGCTATAAAGATCCCTAAAGACAGGCTATAGACTAATTGATCTTTGAACCTTCTAAAGTGCTCAAAACAGTGCCTTATTCCCTGAGAAGGTGCTTAATAAATACTTGAATGAATGAGTGAGTGAATTTATGGAACATTAAGATTTATAACAAAAATATTTTGTAGAGGGAAGGCCTGCAAAATTCTATTTTTATAAAAGTAAGTGAAGATAACAGTCAAATCAATAATAAAGTTCAAAGAAAAATTTAAGTCATTACATGTCCTTTTAAAAAGACATCACTTTGAAATTTTTAATGGTATCTATAAAGAAATCCATTTCTACTTACCTGCTGCTGAAATCTAACCATATTCATCAACTGCTGAGCTCCAGGTGATAACCTTGACCCCACGGACTCCATGATGGTTTGGACCTTCTCAAGGTCTATCCTTGATCCTAGAGCAGGAGAGCATGTTGAAGAATTTGTCGAAACTGGCCTCATGTGGATCACAACTTTACTGATGAACACGCACTGCTTTTCACCAAAGGAAAGCAACTATTATAAAACAAAAAAAGTCCCAGATAATAATAGTATTAAACAATAATCACTATTTAAGGTCACTTGTTTTGTATAAACTAGCAATAGTAAAGTACTCAGAAAAGCAAATATAAACTTTAAGTACATTTTCATTTAAGTTTGCCCTAAAACTGTAAGAGTCGGCACTTTCAATTTATTATTAGGTTCAGAACTTAAGAGGCTCAGAACTGTTTACATAAAAGAATGTTATTTCAAACTGAAAAAATAGAGAATATAAAAAAGGACTAAAATATGGTCTCATTTACTTAAGGAAGAAAAATAAATATACCAATGTGAGAAATTAACATACCACAGTAGTTACAACACTATTCAATACAAAATAAGGATGATGAGAAGGCCCCGCAAGGAATTTACTGAAATACTAAATCTAAGTCAGTCTTTTAGAATTTAGAATTATAAGGGAAAGTCAAGATGCTCTAACATAACCTGCTGTTTCACACATAAAAAAGATGATGTCAGGGGTGATTCTGTAACTTGTCAAAGGAAAACCCAATAAGCAGAAGTCAAGCCTGGAACTTTGCTCTTCTGGCTTCTAAAGCAGTCTCCTGTCCAGTGCTTACATTGCCTCATCTTGTCCATGTTTCTGAACTAAAAGATATTCCATGTGTGATACGGACAACAGAGTAGCAAAATAGAAAGGGAACAGGGTTTGGGATCAGACAGGCCTGAGTTCAACGAAGACTCTGCTACTCAGAGCCTTGTGACCCAGGCAAATGCCAAACCTTAAGTCAGGAGTGAAGTGAGAGAAGGTAGTAACAGTGATTTAAAATGGTTGTTATGAGGATTATGTGTTAAAATTTGCAGTACAGACCACTGAGTAAGTGCTCAAAAATATGCATCAGTAACTACTATTTTTAACTTAGGTATACTACCTCCCAGAGGAAGCCTTCATACAAACCCTACGGTTTCCCCAAATGAAACGACTCCTTGCACTCCCATGTACTTCCACAGAACAGTTACAAAAACATTCACCTTCACAGACCCACACAAACCCATATATCATACAGAGACACAGGTGAACCAGACCCACCATCTACAAACTCAGTGTGGCACCAAAGACGTGACAGCCACCAACAGTTAAGGAGACATCGCATTACATTTACACCCCTACATCCCAACCTCCAGATTAACCCTTCTGCCTTTTGGTTCCCAAGACTGTCTCACTATTGAAAGTAGTGCATATTTTGCTCACTGAATCCACTTATTATTTGTCTCATCCACTATAATATTAGCAATGTGAGGGCTTCATTCTATTTTATTACTGCTACTTCCTAAATGTATCAGTAGGCACTTAAATATTTTTGAATGAATGAATCACTTTATATAAATGACTTCAGAAGCTATTAGTGTGTGCTACTTAAAACATCATCTTGGAATACTCAGTTCTGTGACCTTCTATAAGCAATAATCATACAATCTTAGACAGAAAAATAATTACAGAGTTCATTTAACAGGGCTTATGATTTCTCGCTTAGTACCCTTTCCTAGACTCTGTCATCATTAGTTCACTCTAACAATTATTTTTCATGGTGAAGACACAGGTCCAAATCCCTTTAATGTTGTGGTGCCCTTGTCTGAAACTCAATCTTACTGTATTCTTTCTCAATATTTTGAAACCAGAATGGCTTGTGGTTTTCTTGGCATATAGAATTTACATAAAGTTTTCAAAGATGACTGTTGATAATTTTTTAGAAAAGAATTTATTTCTAGATGTTTACTAAATATTTCTGAACTAAAGCCAGGAATTAAGTTGGACTAACTACATTACCAAACCAAGCAAGAGTAAGTATACACAGTACAAAAACAAATGAAGTTTTCAAATTATAGTTTGAAGTTATAATTTAGTGATAACTTACCTTTATTTTGCAAGCATGTGTGGAAGACTCCAGTTTTAGATATTTTTTGTATAAAATAACCTTTTCATGTTCACTAAAAATAAAAAAGAATTTTTAACTTTCAGACATTATCACTTCTACCTAGTTACCTCTAAAAATAAAGGTTTCCAGGACAATACGTAGAACCTGAGATTCAGTTCTCTTGAAGAAGCATAAAGAATGTTGCCTTCCGACTAAATTACTAGCTAGAGAGACTATACCTGCACTCACTAGCTATATAAGATAAATAAGATAATAAATGTATAACCATTTAGCAGAGAATCTTTTAAAGCTCAATAAATATACCTATTATCGCCAACATGCAGGGTATATAAAAGAGCTCATATTTTGAGTTATATTAAAGAAAGATTAGGGTACAATCTTTGTAAGGATGCATGAAAAAAGGATAGTAATAGGTTAGCTATGCTGGAATTACACAGTCTTGGGCTTGTGCACTATTTTTAGTGGGCTTCCTAGAAAATGTGTTCAAGTTCCATACTGACTGACAAATTAATTTTTAGAAAACAGATCTGTTAAGTTAAAGGAGACAAGAAACACCCATCACACCTTCATTCTAATCAAACTCCTCCACTAGCTATGACCTTCTCCCAACTCATGCCTCTTCTGTTAGCTCTCAGGTTTCATCCACCTTTATTAAAAACTAGGCTGATCTAGACTATCTCTAAGATTCCTAAAGGTCTAAACTTCCATGCCAGCTGGAATATTTTCATCTCCTCCTCCCTAATGTGTGACACCAATATCAGAGAATCAGTATTACAAAAGCTGAGGAAAATAGCAACACTACTTCAGAAGGACACTTCTGTGTTAACAAGTTACAAACCTGTTATCCAG